TGTGTGTAGACACCGTAACACGTGTGAACGAGCTCATAGCCAGCATAACATGTGTGAACACATCTGTAGACACCATAACATGTATGAATGATCACATAGACACCGTCTAGACACCATAACATGTGTGAACGAGCTCATAGCCACCATAACATGTATGAACATCTCTGTAGACACCATAACATGTATCAATGATCACATAGACACTGTAACACGTATAAAAGAGCTCATAGACACCATGACACATAGAGATGGGTCCATAGACACCATAACACGTGTGAGCGAGCTCGTAGCCACCATAACATGTATGAACATCTCTGTAGACACCATAACATGTATCAATGATCACATAGACACTGTAACACGTATAAAAGAGCTCATAGACACCATGACACATAGAGATGGGTCCATAGACACCATAACACGTGTGAGCGAGCTCGTAGCCACCATAACATGTATGAACATCTCTGTAGACACCATAACATGTATCAATGATCACATAGACACTGTAACACGTATAAAAGAGCTCATAGACACCATGACACATAGAGATGGGTCCATAGACACCATAACACGTGTGAGCGAGCTCGTAGCCACCATAACATGTATGAACATCTCTGTAGACACCATAACATGTATCAATGATCACATAGACACTGTAACACGTATAAAAGAGCTCATAGACACCATGACACATAGAGATGGGTCCATAGACACCATAACACGTGTGAGCGAGCTCGTAGCCACCATAACATGTATGAACATCTCTGTAGACACCATAACATGTATCAATGATCACATAGACACTGTAACACGTATAAAAGAGCTCATAGACACCATGACACATAGAGATGGGTCCATAGACACCATAACACGTGTGAGCGAGCTCGTAGCCACCATAACATGTATGAACATCTCTGTAGACACCATAACATGTATCAATGATCACATAGACACTGTAACACGTATAAAAGAGCTCATAGACACCATGACACATAGAGATGGGTCCATAGACACCATAACACGTGTGAGCGAGCTCGTAGCCACCATAACATGTATGAACATCTCTGTAGACACCATAACATGTATCAATGATCACATAGACACTGTAACACGTATAAAAGAGCTCATAGACACCATGACACATAGAGATGGGTCCATAGACACCATAACACGTGTGAGCGAGCTCGTAGCCACCATAACATGTATGAACATCTCTGTAGACACCATAACATGTATCAATGATCACATAGACACTGTAACACGTATAAAAGAGCTCATAGACACCATGACACATAGAGATGGGTCCATAGACACCATAACACGTGTGAGCGAGCTCGTAGCCACCATAACATGTATGAACATCTCTGTAGACACCATAACATGTATCAATGATCACATAGACACTGTAACACGTATAAAAGAGCTCATAGACACCATGACACATAGAGATGGGTCCATAGACACCATAACACGTGTGAGCGAGCTCGTAGCCACCATAACATGTATGAACATCTCTGTAGACACCATAACATGTATCAATGATCACATAGACACTGTAACACGTATAAAAGAGCTCATAGACACCATGACACATAGAGATGGGTCCATAGACACCATAACACGTGTGAGCGAGCTCGTAGCCACCATAACATGTATGAACATCTCTGTAGACACCATAACATGTATCAATGATCACATAGACACTGTAACACGTATAAAAGAGCTCATAGACACCATGACACATAGAGATGGGTCCATAGACACCATAACACGTGTGAGCGAGCTCGTAGCCACCATAACATGTATGAACATCTCTGTAGACACCATAACATGTATCAATGATCACATAGACACTGTAACACGTATAAAAGAGCTCATAGACACCATGACACATAGAGATGGGTCCATAGACACCATAACACGTGTGAGCGAGCTCGTAGCCACCATAACATGTATGAACATCTCTGTAGACACCATAACATGTATCAATGATCACATAGACACTGTAACACGTATAAAAGAGCTCATAGACACCATGACACATAGAGATGGGTCCATAGACACCATAACACGTGTGAGCGAGCTCGTAGCCACCATAACATGTATGAACATCTCTGTAGACACCATAACATGTATCAATGATCACATAGACACTGTAACACGTATAAAAGAGCTCATAGACACCATGACACATAGAGATGGGTCCATAGACACCATAACACGTGTGAGCGAGCTCGTAGCCACCATAACATGTATGAACATCTCTGTAGACACCATAACATGTATCAATGATCACATAGACACTGTAACACGTATAAAAGAGCTCATAGACACCATGACACATAGAGATGGGTCCATAGACACCATAACACGTGTGAGCGAGCTCGTAGCCACCATAACATGTATGAACATCTCTGTAGACACCATAACATGTATCAATGATCACATAGACACTGTAACACGTATAAAAGAGCTCATAGACACCATGACACATAGAGATGGGTCCATAGACACCATAACACGTGTGAGCGAGCTCGTAGCCACCATAACATGTATGAACATCTCTGTAGACACCATAACATGTATCAATGATCACATAGACACTGTAACACGTATAAAAGAGCTCATAGACACCATGACACATAGAGATGGGTCCATAGACACCATAACACGTGTGAGCGAGCTCGTAGCCACCATAACATGTATGAACATCTCTGTAGACACCATAACACATATAGATGAGGACATGGACACCATAACACGTATGAACGAGCTCGTAGACACCATAACACATAGAGATGGGGCCATAGACACCATAACATGTGTGAACATGTGTGTAGACACCGTAACACATGTGAACGAGCTCACAGCCACCATAACATGTATGAACATCTCTGTAGACACCATAACACGTATGAACGAGCTCGTAGACCCCATGACACGTGTGAACACACATGTAGACACCATAAGACATATGGATGATCACATAGACACCATAACACATATGAACGAGCTCATAGACGCCATGACACATAGAGATGGATCCATAGACACCATAACACGTGTGAGCAAGCTCATAGCCACCATAACATGTATGAACATCTCTGTAGACACCATAACATGTATCAATGATCACATAGACACTGTAACACGTATAAAAGAGCTCATAGACACCATGACACATAGAGATGGGTCCATAGACACCATAACACGTGTGTCCACGCGCGCAGGGCGCCTCATCTTCGACAACCTGAAGAAGTCCATCGCCTACACCCTGACCAAGAACATCCCCGAGCTGACGCCCTACCTGGTCTACATCACGGCCAGCGTCCCCCTGCCCCTGGGCTGCATCACCATCCTCTTCATCGAGCTCTGCACCGACATCGTGCGTCCCGCCCGGGCGCCGGGGCCCCTTCCCGGACTCCTGGGCCCTTCCCGGATTCCTGGGCCCCTTCCCCGGATGCCTGGGCCCTTTCCCGACTCCTGGGCCCTTTTCCGGACACCAGGGCCCCTGGGGGGGTGGGATCTTCCCCATATCCCTGGGCCCTTTCCTGGACTCCTGGGCCCCTTCCCACCCGGACACCTGGGCCCTTCCCGGACGCCTGGGCCCCTTCCCAGACTCCTGGGCCCTTCCCAGGACTCCTGATCCCCCTGATCCCATTGGAGACCCCAGGGCCCTTCCTGGATTCCCAATCTCCCTGATCCCATTGGATACTCTGGACCCTCTCCTGGGACTCCTGATCTCCCCCTGCCCGGACGCCTGGGCCCCTCCCGGACACCTGGGCCCTTCCCGGACGCCTGGGCCCCTTTCCAGACTCCAGGGCCTCCCCTCGGACTCCTGATCCCCCTGATCCCATTGGAGACTCTGGAACATCTCCTGGGACTCCTGATCCCCCCCAGCCCGGACTCCTGGGCCCCTCCCGGACGCCTGGGCCCTCCCGGACGCCGGGGCCCCTGCGGACGTGGGGCTCCGAACG